ATCTATACAAAAATAAAAAATAAAAATGTAGCTGGGAGTGGTGGCTTATGCCTGTGGTCCCAGCTACTCGGGAGGCCGAGGTGGGAAGATTGCTCAAGGGCTGGAGTTGGGGGATGCAGTGATGGAACCACTGCACTCTCAGCCTGGGCAACAAAGCAAGACCCAGAAAGAAAAAAAAAAAAGAAAAAGAAAAGAGAAAGAGAGAGAAAGGAAGGAAGGAAGGAAGGAAGGAAAGAAAGAAAAAAGAAAAGAAAGAAGAAACAGATTATAGCACATAGCTCACTGAGTTACTAGGGAGGACTAAATGTAAAGTAATGCTGCTACTGATGCTTCTGATAAGGATGATCATATGCAAAAGCTAATGCTTTCTTCTCCAGATACTTCTTCCGGGAAATATATACCACATCGCCTCTTTCTTCACACATTCTTTAGAGTAGGACAGACATGGATTCAAATATACTAGTTTTGTCTTTTCTTTCTTTCTTCTTTCTTTCCTTTCTTCCTTTCCTTTCCCTCCCTCCCTCCCTTCCTTCCTCTCTCTTTCTTTCTGACAGTCTTGCTCTGCCGCCAGGCTGGAGTGCAGTGGTGCAAACTCAGCTCACTGCAACCTGTCTTCTGGGTTCAAGCAATTCTCATGCCTCAGCCTCCCAAGTAACTGGGACTGCAGGCATGCACCACTATGCCTGGGTTTTTGCAGTTTTAGCAGAGATGGGATTTCACCATGTTGTCCAGGTTAATCTTGAACTCCTGACCTCAAGTGATCTGCCCGCTGGGGGTCTGGCCACACGGAAAAGCCAACCATGTAGTTAGTGTTGGGGCTTTGAGTTATGATACCAGTCCAATCTCAAGGAAGGAAAATGGGGCTAAAGGTTGAGTTCAACCACATAGCCAATGATTCAATCATGCCTATGAAGCCTCAATAAAAACTCTGGATACCAAAGCTCAGGAGAGCATCCCTGGTCAGAATATTGTCAGGCTTCGATGCTGGGAGGGCAATGTGTCCCTAAGAATGAGGGTAGCTTCACATTTGGAACCTCCCAGACTTTGCCCCAGGTACCTCTTCTGTTTCTGGTCTGTTCTTTTTTCTGTAACAGAACTGCAATCATAACAGTGCTTTCTGGAGTTCTGTGAGTTGTTCTAGCAAATTACTGAAACAGACAGTGGCTATGGAAAACTCCAAATTTGTAGCCAGCTAGTCAGAAGTAAGGATGGCCTGGGGACCCCTGAAATTGTTGCTGGTGTCTGGAGGGCAGCTTTGTGGAGGGATGTGCCCTTCATGTTGAGTTCCCATTTTCTTTTTTTTTTTTTATGGTGCCAATTTAAATAGTTTTATTTAAGATATTGCATTTTCCACTTACAATACAGTGTTTATAAAGTGCAACGTTAGTTCTTTCCTTCCCCTGTGCATATGTTCCATATTCAAGTATTGAGAATGCCCAGTAACTTACTATAGCAGCTCAACTTTTTAAAACTGCCACAGAATTTGCTACAAATTTAGGTCCTTCAATGCTTTATATGTGTGGAACAATGCTAAATCTATACTTGGGTTGGCTTAATCAACCTCTTCAATAGTGGGCCCTGAGGAAGCACCACCAGAGGGAGGAGCTCCACCACCAGGGAATCCTCCAGGCATTCCTCCTGGCATGCCTCCTGCACTCTGGTACAGCTTGGTGATGATGGGGTTGCAGACTTTCTCCAGCTCTTTTTGCTGATGTTCAAATTCTTCCTTCTCGGCAGTCTGATTCTTATCAAGCCAGTTGATAATTTCATTACACTTGTCCAGAATCTTCTGTTTATCCTCATCGTTAATCTTGCCTTGAAGTTTCTCATCTTCAACAGTTGCTTTCATGTTGAATGCATAGGATTCAAGTGAATTCTTAGATGACACTTTGTCCCTCTGCTTCTCATCTTCAGCTTTGTACTTCTCAGCTTCCTGGACCATATGTTCAATGTCTTCCTTGCTCAAACGGCCCTTGTCATTAGTGATAGTAATCTTGTTCTCTTTTCCTGTACTCTTGTCCACAGCAGACACATTGAGAATGCCATTGGCATCAATGTCAAAAGTGACCTCAATCTGAGGAACACCTCGGGGTGCAGGAGGTATGCCTGTAAGTTCAAACTTGCCAAGCAGGTTGTTATCCTTGGTCATGGCACGCTCACCTTCATAAACCTGAATAAGCACACCAGGCTGGTTGTCGGAATAGGTAGTGAAGGTCTGTGTCTGCTTGGTGGGAATGGTAGTATTACGCTTGATGAGGACGGTCATGACTCCACCAGCAGTTTCAATGCCAAGGGAAAGAGGAGTGACATCCAAGAGCAGCAAATCTTGAACATTTTCAGACTTATCTCCAGACAGAATGGCGGCCTGGACAGCTGCACCATAAGCAACAGCTTCATCAGGGTTGATGCTCTTATTCAGTTCTTTTCCATTGAAAAAGTCTTGGAGAAGCTTCTGAATTTTGGGGATGCGAGTAGAACCACCAACCAGGACAATATCATGAATTTGAGACTTGTCTCGTTTGGCATCTCGAAGGGCCTTCTCTACGGGGTCCAGGGTTCCATGGAACAAGTCAGCATTCAATTCTTCAAATCGGGCATGGGTAATGGAGGTATAGAAGTCGATTCCTTCATATAGGGAATCGATCTCAATACTAGCCTGGGTGCTGGAAGAGAGAGTACGCTTAGCACGCTCACAAGCAGTACGGAGGCGTCTTACAGCTCTCTTGTTCTCACTTATGTCCTTCTTATGCTTGCGCTTGAACTCAGCAATGAAATGGTTGACCATTCAGTTATCAAAATCTTCTCCACCCAAGTGGGTGTCTCCGGCTGTAGACTTGACCTCAAAGATTCCATCCTCAATAGTGAGGATTGACACATCAAAAGTGCCACCTCCGAGATCAAAGATCAGCACGTTTCTCTCAGCTCCAACCTTTTTGTCTAAGCCATAAGCAATAGCAGCAGCAGTTGGCTCATTAATAATTCTAAGTACATTGAGACCAGCAATAGTTCCAGCATCTTTGGTAGCCTGATGCTGAGAGTCATTAAAGTAAGCGGGCACTGTGACCACAGCATTGGTAACAGTCTTCCCAAGGTAGGCTTCTGCAATTTCCTTCATCTTTGTCAGAACCATAGAGGATACCTCCTCTGGATAGAAGCTTTTTGTCTCTCCCTTGTATTCTACTTGGACCTTGGGCCTGCCAGCATCATTCACCACCATAAAGGGCCAATGCTTCATATCAGACTGGACAACGGCATCATCAAATCTGCGTCCAATCAGATGTTTGGCATCAAAAACCGTGTTGGTGGGGTTCATTGCAACTTGATTCTTTGCGGCATCACCAATCAATCGTTCAGTGTCCGTAAAGGCGACATAGCTTGGAGTGGTTCGGTTTCCTTGATCATTGGCAATTATTTCTACTTTTCCGTGCTGGAAAACACCCACACAAGAGTAGGTGGTGCCAAGATCAATACCAACGGCAGGTCCCTTCGACATGGTTGCTGGCGTGTAGGCCTGGCCCCGAAAACGAAGAATACCACAGTAATCTCGAGAGCTGCAGGGGGAGTTCAGTGAGACCCTGAGTTCCCATTTTCTAAGTGTACAATTCAACAGCTTTTGGTAGGTTCACAGAATTGTGCAGCCATCATCCCCAACGTGTTTTTTGAACCTTTCCAAATTTCAGATCTGGTTTCATCAAAAAGGAACCTCCACTCCAGGTTCATACACTGGATTATTTCCTCTCTTTAGACTCTCTTAATTTAGAACATTATATATTTTTTAAATATTAATGACCTTTTTTTTTTGAGACAGGCTCTTGCTCTGTTGCCCACACTGGAGTGCAGTGGTGTGATCACAGCTCACTGCAGCCTTGACCTCCTGGGATCAAGCAATCCTCCCACCTCAGCCTCCCAAGTAGCTGGGATCACAGGTGTGTGCCGCCACACCCAGCTAATTTTTTTTTGTAGAGATGGGGGTCTCCCTATGTTGCTCACGCTGGTCTCATTGGGCTCAAGAAATCTTCTCAACTCAGCCAGTCAAAGTGCTGGGATTACAGGTGTGAGCCATCATGCCTGGTGACATTGACTTTTAGGCTTTTTATCCAGCTATAACATAAGGTAAAAAGCACAAATCCTGTGTATTGCTTTTTCGCCTGCTATAACCCTATTACCAGCATCCAGATTAAAAAAATAGATCATGTGAACAGGAAATGAAAGGATTGGTGGCTATTTTGGCTAAGCCCAGGTGTTGCAGTTGTGTGTGTGTTTTGATCTAAGGGTAGCCTCCAGAGGAGCTGGGATTATAGGTACCCACCACCACGCCCAGCTAATTTTTGTATTTTTAGTAGAAATGGGGTTTCACCATGTTGGCCAGGGTGGTCTTGAACTCCTGAAGTGATCCGCCTACCTCAGCCTCTCAAAGTGCTGGGATTACAGGCGTGAGCCCCTGTGCCCGCCCTGAGCACAATCTTTGTAACTAGCTATACATGTGATACATATAGAAAATAAGCACAAAGTGGGCCAGTAGTATTTAATGAAATCTAATGACTAAACACAAGTCCACAGAGGGAGAAAAACATTTATAAAATTCACAAGTCACACTTCTAATTAAATCCCTTTAATTTCCAGGGTCAGTTGTTCATGAATCTATCTACTCAAATAAACAACTCCACCCTTTGAAACAAATCCACTGTGGTTCAGATCTCTTGCCTGTTTCTCTTTTCTGAGAGTAGAGAGCTACCTTCATAAACAACATTTCCTATCAACACCAAGCCAAAAAAAACTTAGTGCATTTGTGTCTTTCAGGGCAGACTGGTCTATCAAGTCCTTAATTTCCCCTCTCTCCTGTCTCCCTCCCTTCCCTAAAGGATGTGCCTGTAGAAGGTACACCTTTCTACCATCCATCATAACATTTCATTCCCTTTTCTGATGTTCAAATATAAGTCAATTCTGGTCATCAATCAAAAAACCAAACTGCCAACAGGATAAGTAATGAGCCACTCAGATTCAGGTATGCACTCATAAAAATTTAATATCAGAAAACAGCATTTTTAACCATTCACAATTAAAGTGGAAAGAGACAAAATTATAAGGCAGCCATCCATGGAATGATTTCATGTTTACAAGGGATCCAAAAAAGGGGACATTTAAAATCACTGTTCCAGCTACTGAACCAGGGGAACTGCAGTCTTAACCCATGAGATTTCCAACTTGCTGGCAGATACCACAAGAAAAAAAGATCAAAGCCAGTTTCCTTGTGTTAAGCCACTGGTTTAGGCTGAGCATAGAGAATTCCTAAATGGTTGTCTAGTTCTTTCCCACCAGTCACACATTTCCTTCAGGTGTCCTGGAGTGAATTGAGATGTCTCAAATACAAAGAGGTTACATCATTGGTTTTAATTTCATAGCATCTCCAACAGTGCACTTTGAGTGATGTGGACCATTCTGTATTGAGCAGAAATTTTCTAATGCAAGGAAGGTTCCTCTGTAGAACAACTACAGAGGATTCTCACTTAACACTGCAGCAGTTCTGGATGAATCTGGTCATTATTCTCAGTCTCCCAAGGGGCTCAGGGGCCCACAAGGCCAGAACGTTCTTTGGGGGTTTGTGCTGCTGTCATACAGTTCCTATGTTCAGTCCCTAGCTACCATGTGTTTCAGGGGCTTAATACACTCCGATGCTGGTGTGTCCTCTTAGTTCTAATTCTTGAAAAAGAGAAAAACCAGGCAGTGACACCTAGAAGTAGGCTGGTAAAAAAAAACACAATCACATTTTCTCCTTTCTGCAAAGAAAGGACAACTCAAAACAGCTACTCCCTTTCTTTTCTTTAATAATTCAAAATACCAGAAAAGGGCTGACTTGGCTGTTTTGAATTGGGAAAGAAAACGGTGAAAGGGGGGACAAAGAGAAAACACATCGCCTCTGTAGGTAGTACTGTTTCCAACTATCTACATTCCAGTGCAGAATCTTTGCCTAAAAAAAAATTTGGCAACAGTGTGCACAGGAAAACTGAGTCAAACTTGGAACATCACTGTTTTCATGAAACAAGAACTGACAAGCAATTAACTGGAGAAGTGGGGCGAATGGATCAGTAGTATTCTTCAGCTTAATTTGCCATTTAAGAGAGCACTTGGAATCTGAGGAAAGTCTACCCCTACCAAGGAAAGGAGTCAAATTGCAATTAAGATTAACTTTGGTTATATGGAAGGAAGAATCATGCTTTTCATCATCAATTGCATCTCTTTGGTAGCCAATATTTCCATCTGTAATCATGGCAGCAACTTAAGTATTGCCAATGTTTTCAAATGTGTTACAGCATTAAGGCATCCACATCTAAAGAGGCAGTTTTAAACAAGAGGAAAACAGAACTGAAATGTGCCAAGAAGTGAACATGGACATGGCCTCTCCTGGAACACTGCCCACCACGGCAGCAAGCTCTTCTTCCAGTGAAGGAGGCCTGTGCCATGCTGCTTGGTTCCGTGCTGCCTGAAGATGCATTTGAGCCCTATGAGATTAGTATGGCTATTTCTGCCTGCTGACCAGGAGAGAAATGAGTAGTTCCTGAGGCAGCAGCTTTAAAATCTGGGAAAGCCCATTGGTAGCTTCTGGGAGCTAAGAGGGCCGTGAAATGTTTGCTTGTTAATAGTGAGGTCCAGAGGGGAACGCAAATTTGGAAGTCAGATGATTCAATCTTTGCCAAAGTTCAAGGCTCCATCCAGCAAGATAAGATATACTAGCCAAACTTTTAAGCATGATGGCAAGGCACTGCTGAAAGGGGCTTTGGCCAGCAGAACAACTTACTGACCATTGCACACAACAATATGCTAGAAAGCACTACTGTCCAAACCAAACCAGATACTACAATCTGCTATTTATTTCACAAAGTCAGTTTCCAGAGAGAATCTAGGCAACCATATAGTTTGAAGGACCAGATGAAACCTCAAATCTCTCATAAAGTCAGCTGTTTCCATCCAATCAAGGAAGTCATTTGGACTTGACATCCTATACCTTCTCTTGGTTGTAAAATTGTATGCAATTGTTGCCAGTGACTACCTAGAACTGTATCTTATTTGTGCTGCTTTCCTCACTGTGGCCAGCAGAGGGCTCACAAGCTTTATTTCCACAGCTGCTGATCCAGTGACAAATTTACAAAGGAAATAAAGAAATCACAGGCATGCTGGCTTATGTGTCATAGAAAACATTTTTACAAACTACTACATCCACTGCCCTGAAGAAACCAGTCTTGGTTCCCCCTTAATGTAATGTGTTTTGAAATGGTACAGAAAATAAAAATAAATTAATAATACAATATTACACACTTATTTGACAAGACAGGGTTTACACAAATTTTGGCAAATAAGAAAAAAAAATTATCTTAATTTGTTAAACACTTTTGCTATCTCAATTGTTTAAATTACCAGAATATTAGTGATTGTGTCAATTTATACATGAGGAGGTGCTATTTTAAGGGCCTAACAAAGCGGCATTTGACACAAAGGTAACTTCTTTGAAGGGGGATAAAGAATAAAGATATTATTATCTTCGTCATCACAGTTCAAGAAGTGGTTGTCCTGATAAGAATTCATCTCACACAAATATTAACACCAGCAGTAAGCAGCAAATTGTGGGGAGGAAAGACTAGAGGGAAAAGTTAGGAGAAAAGCATGGAAAAGACGAAGAGACAAGAGACATGATTCCAATAAGCTTTAACTCAACAGGCAAACACTTCTCATTTATGATCCATCTTGCTACAGGTGGTTATGTGAACAGACACAGTGTCCCCTAAGCTGACCTAGTATTTAGGCTCCTAGAGGGATTGCTGATCTGGTAAGAGAGAGAAAAAAGACAACCATACATATATATTTTGGTAGTCTTACTTTTAAAGAAGGCTACCATAAAGATATCAACAACCATTGAAAAATCACTTAAAATTTAATATCCCTTAATTTCCAAAGCTATTTTGTGATCTAGAAAGCTACTAGATCTTGGCTTCTCTCTGAGAATGTGGAGACAGATATTCTGCAAAGAGAACTTGAAAAGGAATGCTACAAAATACCAGTCACCTCTTCAGAAGCTACTCCCACCCCTCCTGCTCCATTGGATGGAATGGCAGGCTGGATTCAGAGAGACATGTGCAAAAGGAGCTGTTTAAGTCCCTCTAGACATCCCCTTTCAATGGATATCTCTTTTGAGTATAAAGTGAGCTTTCAGTGTGTCTTGCCATCATTTTCCTGACTCTAATCCCAAATTAACTACAATCACCTTTAGCATCTAAGAGAGTGGGTGCTATGACCTTCCATCAAGGCATGTGGCATAGATGCTAAAGCACCAGTCTTACATGGTGGGAACCATGTTAAAAATCAATGGATAAAGTGGCAGAGCCTCTAAACTAAGCAGAAACAGACATAGCTGAATTACAGAACACTGTATTTTCATAATTACTATTTCATTGTGAGTATGAAATTCTCCTCTTTTCCTTAAAACTAAATTTCATCTTCCCTGAGAATAGGGTCAAGAGAAACATTAGAACTCAAAATGTCAAGGGCCTTTTAAAAGATAACACAATGGGATGTCTATAGCTAACTGCAACATGTTTCTACTCTAAAAGCGTTTCCATTACTCAGGTCTTAATCTCACCTCCCTCCGGACTCTCTAGGAATACATGTGGAGATGGGCAAGGCAAGACAAGAGATTGAGGAAGTGAGTAGCTGTCCTGCGCCGGCTGTTCTCACTGGATGGCAAACGGCCTTGGACCAAGGCTGGACCTTGAACATTTAATGTTGGTGTCCTACTGACAGGATGAGGGGAATGAGGCAACCCAGAACCAGGGCTGCCACCTCCAGGCGGCTGAGGCCTCTTCCTCCTGTGGTGTCGGGCTTGTGGCTGTGCCCCATTCCCCCCACCTCAGGGAGGACATGTACTGTGGCAACATAAAGAAATGTCCCGGCAGAGAAAAGCATGGCCACTCCCGTGGCGTTCACCTCGGAAAGGGCTTCTTTACTGCTCTGTGAATTAGAGAGAGAAAGGAAAAACTAAGTCAAGTAAAATTCAGGGTCAAAAGAAGTCCCAATTAAAAAACACTAACTATTCTTAACTGGTGCTGTCTAGGACACTGGGGACATCTAGAGAACAGAGCAATTTTTTTTTTGAGACGGAGTCTTGCTCTGTCACCTGACTCGAGTGCAGTGGTGGGATCTCGGCTCACTGCAACCTCCGACTCCCTGATTCAAGCAATTCTCCTTCCTCAGTCTCCCAAGTAGCTGGGATTTTTTTTGTATTTTTAGTAGAGATAGGGTTTCACCAGGTTGCCCAGGATGGTCTCTATCTCCTGATCTCGTGATCCACCCACCTTGGCCTCCCAAAGTGCTGGGATTACAGGCGTGAGACACCGCACCCAGCCAAGAACAGAGCAATTTTAAGTTATTCATGAAAAGCTTCCAAATAAGGGTTTAAGAATATCAGTGATATATGCAATTAATTTTTTAAAAAACTTATTGTAAATCAACAATTTATAATTGTATATATTTATAGGATATAAAGTGACATTATGATTCATGAGTATAATGTGGAACAATTAAATCAAACTAACATCTGTCATCACAAATATTTATCACCTTTTCTGGTGGGAACATCTGAAATTTACTCTTAGCAATTTTGAAATGTACCACACACTATTATTAACTATATTTACCGCAGTTCCATCATTCTGTCCATCTATCCATCTAATGTATCTGTCTTTAGAGATGAGGTCTCGCTATGTTGCCCAGGCTGGAGTTCAGTGGCTATTGACAGGCACAATCATAACACACTACACCTTGAACTCCTGGGTTCATGCAATTCTCCTGTCTCAGCTTCCCAAGTAGCTGGGACTACAGGTGTGTGCCACTGCTCCTGACTCACAATTGCTTTTTAAAACTAACTTTAAGTGCTGGTTCAACAGGTTTGGCTTGTATTATTCTTGAGATAGAACTGGTAACATATTATTGCAGATATTAAATTTAAGACATACATTTATTGATTCTACTAATATTTAATAAGCATCATCTATGCACCAGGCTCTGGGCCAGGTGCTTGAGATAAAAGTAATCAAGATGCAGCAGCTGACCTCATAGAGCTTAGAAATATCTCACAAACTAATCTTTTAAAAACTAATTTCAACCTTTTCTATTAAAAACGTGGACCTGTAGACTAAGACAATTAATTAAAATGCTAAGAAAAGGACATGCCGTAGATGCAGCAAGTAACTCCCCGTCTCCAGAATTATCAGTACCTTCCTGTCAAAAGTTTAAAAAACTTGCACTGATTACTGAAGTGACAGAGTAATCTTTCAAAGGGAACAACATACTGCTCACTGAAAGAAGAGAAGGTTCTTCAGGTAAACGGAAAGGATTTTTATAACACACTGTTAGCAACTAAGATCAACAAACCCTTGCTTAACAGGAACCTAGCCATTCTTTATCTCATTTTTCACATGTTCCTATTAATACAGGTTTTACTGCCAAATACTGAATTGACTGACACTCAGAAGAATCAATGACCTTTAGAGAGGGTGTTGGGGAAAGAGTTCCCATCGACTAGCCCTCAGTCAGTATGCGTCTACGATTTTCCTTCAGTTGCCTGCCAGTTGACATTTAGGAGGGTTGTGGCTAAGAACTACAGCCCAGACAGGCAGGATTATAAGGCATGGAAAGGTCCAGCTTGGAAGCAGACAAGCGCACGTTACACCTCAGGTCTGAAGCTATGTTCAGTATAAAGTATTCAATATAATAAAGAACTGGACAGTCACTATTTGGGGACGGGAGAGCTGGGAGGAGAAGAGGTTGAGTTAGCTGCTCAGCTGCTGTTCTCAAAGGTGCCACGTGGCTTGTTACTTATGCTTCATGCGTCTACCTCAACATTAAATATGGACGGGTTTGACTTACTAGGTATCTGTCAAATGAAACTAGCATGGCTGGTTAAGTTATACTATTTCAAATATTGAAGGACAATCATATTTATGCAAATATTCTTGGAACGAATAGGAAAGAAGTTTTCAAATTAAATGAATAAGGAAATGCTAAATTTATGAAGAGGACAAATTGGAACTAAGATATTTACCCTGTACAATTTTTACTCCTAATTTTAACATTAGTTTGAGAGAGAAACTTATTGGAAAAATTCAATCCAAGAGACCATAAGTTCTAAGAGATCACAAGACACTTGTTTAGATAGCTAGGAGTAGATTAGCTTACCTTACTCAGTCCTAAGTATGTCACCATGGACATAACTGGTGCTGCCAGTGCAAAGACCAGCAAGTGCTTTCTGATTCGATTCCGCTCTAGGCCAGCATGCATCAAGAAGGAAACCAGTCCAAAAGCAGCTGGTGCCTGGAAATAGAAAATAATCTCTTATTATGACTCTATAAGTATGGATTCCTTCTACATCAAGAAGTACATGCCATTTGACTATGTTTTCTCATACAAAAAAAACCTCACAGTGACTCACACTTGTGATCCTAGCACTTTGGGAGGTCCAGGTGGGCAGATCACCTAAGGTCAGGAGTTTGAGACCAGCCTGGCCAACATGGTAAAACCCCATCATTACTAAAAATACAAAAATGTGTGATGGCCGGTGCCTGTAATCCCAGCTACTTGGGAGGCTGAGGCAGGATTATCATTTGAACCCAGGAGGTGGAGACTGCGGTGAGCCGAGATCACACCATTGCACTCCTGCCTGGATGACAAAAGCAAAACTCCATCTCAAAAACAAAACAAAACACAACAAGAGCTGGGGTTGGTGGCTTATGCTTATAATCCCAGCACTTTGGGAGGCCAAGGCAGGCGGATCACGAGGTCAGGAGACTGAGACCATCCTGGCTAATATGGTGAAACCCCGTCTCTACTAAAAATACAAAAAAATAAATTAGCTGGGCGTGGTGGCACTTGCATATAGTCCCAGCTACTCTGTAGGCTGAGGCAGGAGAATCACTTGAACCTGGGAGGTGGAGGTTGTGGTGAGCTGAGATCGTACACTGCACTTCAGCCTGGGTGACAGAGTGAGACTCCGTCTCAAAAACAAAACAAAACAAAACCCACAAAAAACAAAAAACAAAACCAGGCAGAATACCAAAGCTGAGCTATGCCTTTAGCAATTAATGTTCTAAGCCAAGAAAAAATCCTATTTGTGTGTGTTTCTTGGACAGTAGAAAGGAGAAACAGTCAAGAAAAGAAAAATACTTTTAAACAAAAATTACTATGAAATAGAGAAATCTGAGGTCTTGAACTTCTGGCCGCAAATGATCCTCCTGCCTCTGCCTCTGCAAGTGCTGGGATTATAGGCATGAGCCACTGTGTCTGTCCTTTCTTTGGAATTCATTAGGGCTTGTTAAATTTTTTGAAATTATATGTTTTGTGATAAAACATTTAGAAGTCCATGTTTTTTATTCTGTACTGTGTAGCTTAAGAAATGTCAAACCCAGGAGTATGGCCTTATTGGGCACACTAGAAACAAGAGTGGGAAAGGGTTAATTCACAGACCTGGCCAGCCTCCTTCTGACTTCAAGGTGATGATTTACTGTGTGATTCTTAAACAGGTTCTCAGGCTCTTCTCCCAGCAATTCTGATTCATGGAATTTCAGTGGATCACTCAGGACACAGTAAAAGTTCTTATGCAGAGAGAAGCTGACTTGAACTATCCCTATATGATTGAGGTGCTTTTACCAGGAAGGGGGTTTTATAGTTTCAATCATATATGATGAAAAAGGTACTATATTCTTTTTTGTCAAAACTACTTTGTGTATTTTATAAGCAATATATATGTACTAATATTCCTTTATCAGACATTGTGGGGTGCATGGTATAGAAAACTCAATGTATTCTTTTAAGGTGCACATCTTTTTTTTTTTTTTTTTTGCTTTATTTCAACCATTTACATCGAACTATTTCTTAATTTAGAATACATTTCTCTGCTTTTGCAAACACAGTCTACAGGGGATAATTCAATCTTTTCAGAGTCATCATATACGTTTTTAATTCTTTCAGGTCTGTCTTAGTTCTGTTAAAGTCCCTACACTGAAGGCTCCAGATGTATTTGCTCTTTGAGTTCTACCATGTTTTTAGAGTTTTTTGTTTCCCTTACTTTTTTCTGTCATTTATCTCTCCCATTACTGTACCCACCTCTAGGAACCTTTCTTTAATTTACCCTTGGGTTGGGAAATTGTGTAACTGCATACTATATGTTGAGTAAGCATAGAGAAGATTTGAATAAGGTTTTGATAGGCTGTTCTAGCAATTAAAATGGATATACTTTGCTGCATTGACTTGGTGACATTATTTTAGCGGCTTAGCTCCCTTCTAACTTACTTCCTTATCAACTGCAGTTGTCATATTTGGGATTTCATGGCAAGTGAGATATTGCTAGAAATAATTTCTCTTGATCTATATGTCATCTTTCCCAGCTGTGTTACTGTTTTTGTATATACAGTTCTATAATGTGAAACCTAAGACAATTAAAACTCAACAAATTCTCAGGCCAAGTTTTTGTATGGGATGAAGTATTTCTGATTCAGTGTTATTGTGATAGAGAGCTAAAAATTAGTTGTTTACCTGTGAAATTCCTTCTTGCAGTCATTCTGAAACAAAGTTATGTTACAACTAAAAAAAAAAAGAAATCTGAGGAGAATCTGACAGTCTGTGTATATGACTACACAAAAAAATTGAAACCCATCAAGCAAAAGCTTAAGAAAGTGGAACAAGAAGCTTTGAACAGATTTATCCAAATCTCTAAAATGAATAGCAATTATGAAACTAAGAAAAATTTCCCAAATTCCAGAAAAAACATTAAGGACCATGAGAAATTTTAATTATGAAGACACTCAATACCAAACCTTACACCAAAATTTTGCTTACCTTATGTAGCATGATTGCCACAAACACAATTAACTGGACACTAGTCTGTGAAGTAGAAGCTGCTGCTCCCAAAGCAACACCATCAGCTATATGTAGAAACAAGGAAACATAAAATACTATAACAACGACAACAACAACAACAGTGTAGTGGCTGAGTGTGTGAGCTTTATAGTCAGGGTCAGCTGGATGCCAGCCTTCTTATCTTTAACATGTGTTCAATAAAGTATGTATTTCTTAGGGTTTTCCTGAGGATTAAATGAGATAACTTACATAAACAGCTTAGCTTCTGGCCCAGACTATTCAATGTTAGTTATTTTGGTTGTTGCTGTTGTGTACTGGAAAACGGACATTCAATTTTCCAACTAATCAAAAAATCCATTGATTAATCAAATTGTAACAAGAGAAATACCAAAGAAGAATTTCAGAGGAAGCATCTCTTAATATAGGTAAAGAAACAAAACAGTCCCATCTACTCAGGAGGCTGAGGCAGGAGGATCACTTGAACCCAGGAGGTGGAGGCTGCAGTGAGCTGAGATCAGGCCACTGCACTCCAGCCTGGCAAAAGAGCAAGACTCTGTCTCAAAAAAAAAAAAGATACTAGAACTCTATATAGATGATGAATATATAATAAGCAAACATTGGTTGAATGAATGAACTGTGTTAGAAAATCGTATTATACTTAGAAAGGACCAGGTAACAGTGTACCACCTTTCACATGCCTTTGTCTGTCACTGACAGAATTCTACTACTAGGACTAGGTTTGGCTTATGATTCTAAAGTGTACCCTGTCAGCAATGCTGAGACCTCTGCATTCCACCGCATACCACTTCTGCTTAAACTAGTGCTTTGCATACAGACTGGTATCAGGGCTGTTCTGGACAAAAGTGCCAAGGCTCTTTTCCAGATGACATTCTAGAGCAGAGGTCAGCAAACTTTTTCTTAAGGGCTAGACAGTAAATATTTCAGGGTCTGCAGTTAGTTGGTCTCTTCCAACTATTCAATTCCACCACTGTTGCACAAAAACAAAAGAAATGGATCATTGCATTGTCTATCTCTTCCTTAGCCTCCTACAACTTTGTCTTCATTCTAACATCAGCCATGTCTGCCTTTCTCCATTTTTTATTGCCATCACCCTAACCTAAATTTTTATCACTCAAACAAACCTAAAGTAGCTATAGGTTCCCTACTCCCATTTTCCCCTCATCTAATTCATTGCTATAGACACAGACAATATATACATACATGGTCATGGCTGTGTTCTAATAAAACTTCCTTAATTTGAATTACATAATTTTCATGTGCTACAATATGTTCCTCTTTAAGGAAAAAAAATTAAAACCTGCCATGTATGTACCTATACAACAATCTTGCATGTTCTTCACCTATACCCCAAAACCTAAAATGAAAAAAAAAAAATTAAAAAGAATAGAAACCTTGGGGATACTCTGCAGAGAGGGTAGAAAAAAAAAAGTATAAAAACGATTCTTAGCTTGCAAACACCTGACACTGAGCATGCCAGGCTTGTGCTTGTGTTTCCATTTCCTCAAAGGCCAGTCCAAGAGCATTCAGTGTAGACAGTCCCTGAAATATAAACACTGAGGTCTCCCCTGTGTGACAGAAAACAGAGGTTCCATTGCAATCCAACCCTACCTGCAGCATGGACGACCAGACCCAGCGTGGTGGTGATTTTGGAATTGCTAGACCTTGCTGCTTCTGGATCTAAAGTGGAAATGAGAAAGACAGCATTAAGCTATGTGTGAGACAGAAACTGTTCATGATCTAGAGGTGAAAGAATTTTGTGAAAGCTCTTCAAGTAGATTATTTTCCTCACTACTGCCTTTTTCTTTCTCTCTCTTTTTTTTCTGGGAGATGGAGTTTCACTGTCACCAGGCTGGATGGAATACAGTGGCATGATCTCAGCTCACTGCAACCTCTACCTCTTAAATCAACTCCAGTGATTCTCCTGCCTCAGCCTCCCCAGTAGCTGGGAATACAGGCACGTACTACCATGCCCAGCTCATTTTTTTTTTTTTGTATTTTTAGCCGGGGTTTCACTATGTTGGCCAGGCTAGTCTGGAAATCCTGACCTCCAATGATCTGCCTGCCTCACTCTCCAAAGAGTGTTAAGATTACAGGTGTGAGCCACCACACCTGGCCACTATCTTTTTTCTTTCTGCTTCAAACCCTTATATTTCCCCATCCTGAAGAGGTGGCTAAGAGGAAACTCTTCATTTGACCCAGCCTTCCCTTAAGAAAACTCACTGAAATGTGTAACCCCTAACAACCCCAACTTCCTCCTATACCTTAATCCTTTTCCTCTACCACTCCAAGGAAAGTGCTCTATGGCCTCTGATCATTTCTTTCCAGACCAATCTAACTGTCACTGCCTATCTCTTCCTTGGCATCCTGTAACTTTATCTGCATTCTAATATGTGTCACATTTTTATTGCCATCACCTTCACCTAGATTTTCATCACTCAAACCTAAATTAGCAATAGATTCCCTACTCTTATTTTTCCCTAATATAATTCATCTTACCCATCCATGTCAGATCCATCTTTTGAAAACACCACCCTTAGCAGGGTGCAGTGGCTCACACCTGTAATCCCAGCACTTTGAGAGGCTGAGGCAGGTGGATCGCCTGAGGTCAGGAGTTTGAAATCAGCCTGACCAACATGGTGAAACCCTGTCTCTACTAAAAAATACAAAAATCAGCCGGGTGTGATGGCAGACACCTGTAATCTCAGCTACTTGGGAGGCTGAGGCAGGAGAATTGCTTGAACCCAGGAGGTGGAAGTTGTAATGAGAGGAGATCGTGCCATTGCACTCCAGCCTGGGCAACAAGAGTGAAACGATCTCTTCTGATGTCTCAGTTAACAGGTAAGAATCTGCTGCTTTTCAAATTCAGGGCAAACTGCTATATTAGGTAGGTTCTTAATCAACTAGTTACAACTTATTTCTCAATGTCCAGTCTAGTTAAACCAGTTTGTCAACGCCACCTAACAAAACATTCTTATTCTCCTTTCCCCAAATCTCCTCACCTGTAATTCTTGGCACATACTGAACTTCTCAGCTTGTTAACCCAAAACTTAGACATCGTTCAAAGTCTAACTACAGAACCACTTCCCTCAAGAAAGAATAAAATACTGAAGACTAAGCATGGTGGCTCATGCTTGTAATTGAAGCACTTTGGGAGTCGAGGTAGGAGGATCACCTGAGGCCAGGAGTTTGAGACCAGCCTGGGCAATATCATGAGACCCTATCTCTACAAAATTTAAAAAATTTAGCCAAATGTGGTAGTGGTGCATGCCTATAGTTCCAGGTATCTGGGAGGTTAAGGTGGGAGGATCACTTGCACCTAGGAGTTTAAGGCTGCAGCAAGCTGTGCTCACGCCACTGAACTCTAGCCCAGGTGATAGAGCAAGACCTTGACTCAAGAAAAATTAAAAATTAAAATTAAAAATAAATTTAAAAAATTGATTCTGGCTCAAAACAACTCTCCGTTTGCCTAGATCTAGTGATCTATGGGGGACAGTCTCCACATGTGACTTCAAAGGTTCTTCTATATTACCACCTCTGATACAGAAAGCTATTTTTACTTAAATGTTTTATAGCCCCAGATGGACTGTAAATGATAAAGCATTAAATTTCTACTTCTATCTCTTTTCCTTTAACATATCTCACAGAATGTAGCATAGCACTAGGCACATAACAGTTACTTAATAAATCCTTGCTGAAAGTGAAAAAGATTATTTATGTGTATTAAATTAAGATGTTACTGCTATTATAGGAAACATATAAGTAAATAAAGTTAAAAGATGGGAGCATCAGAATGCCAGGTAAAATGACAGCTGAATGACAGTCAAGTAAATTATAGGGGATTTAATCTTAGGAGTCCGGCACACAAAAGGAAGGGGTTTACAGTGGGAAAGTATACGAGTAAAGTAACAGCTTACCTCTTATTAATAAATGATATTTACCTACTAAAATACTGCAAAGAAGGGAAGCTAAAGAGCCAGCAAATAGTTAAATGTTACCCTGAATTGGAAAGAACAGTCAAATTACACTGTGTACAAGCTGGCTCTGGCCTTATTTTGTACAAAGCCTTGTGGTCCAGTTACACTTAGGATCTTAAAAAATTAGAGGCTTTAAAATTAGAAAGTTTTTACAACCCTATAGAAAAAGACTGCAGTTTAGCATACATTAATATACTTTTATTGATATTTTATAATACATAAAACTCTGCAAAATAAAAACCAGATCATCATACACATGAAAGCCAGCAAAAACAATGACTTCAGAGGTAAAACAGGAGGAAGAATAAAGGAACACAAGCTACATTTAATTCTCTGTATAGGATTAAGGGCACTACTGGGTCCATCCATTTTATTTTTATTTTTTTAGCGACAGAGTCTTGCTCTGTTGCCCAGGCTGGAGTAAAGTGGTACGATCACAGCTCGCTCTCACTTCAGCCTCGAACTAAAGTGATCCTCCCTCCCATCTCAGCCACCTGAGTAGCTGTTACTACAGGCATGTGCCACTATGCCTGGCTAATTTTTAAATTAATTTTTTGTTGAGATGGGTCTTGCTATGTTGCCCAGGCTGGTCTTGAACTCCTGGGCTGAAGCAATCTTCCCATCTTGGCCTCCCAGATCGCCTGTGATTACAGGCGTGAGTCAACATGCACAGTCTACTTTAAATGGAAATGACAAGAATCACAAGAAAAATGTCTTAGAGGCCAATGTGGCCAACTATGTAATACAGCTAGAGTCCAACACCATCCAACGGTGCTTCTTATTTGCTGTTTGGAATAAGGCACATGAATAAAACCATTTATTCCTAAATCAACTTTCCAAGATAAAATTTTATTTAAAAAAAATAACTCTGGAAAAAAATTAACATATCGTAATACAAGATTAAAAACTGTTCTAGACAAAACGCATTTTGTTTTGTTTTAAACTTAATCCCATAATTTTTTAAAAACCGTAATTTGGAAATAATTTTAAACCTTCAGGAAAGTTGTAAGAATAGTTAAAAAAATTGCCATATCTTTTTCTCAGATGGACCTACTGCCTAACATATTGTCCCCTTTGCTTCATCATTTACACTCATGCTCTGTGTACACACACACATTCTTTTTCTGTAACATTTAAAAGCTGTACCCAGCTAACTGGTACAGATACTTCAATGTGTATTTTATCCCCAGATACTTCAATGTGTATTTTCTAAGATAAAAGATATTTTCTTACATAATAACAGTGCAGGTGTCAGCGTCGACGTTTTGTCTAATTTTCTTGCATACTAGAATTCTGTCGATTGCTCAATATTGTACTTCAGGGCCTATTTCCTTTCCAGGAAGGATCCAGTCCAGAATCACACATTTCACTTAGCTGTAACTCTTCAGTCTCTTTTAATCTGGAACATTTCCTCTCCCTTTGACTTATAACATTGCCATTTTTGGATAATACATTCTCCTCCTTTCTTGTTTTTTTTTTTTTTTTAGTAATAAAAAACTTTTGTGTGTATGTCCTTAGACTATGGGTTCTTGGATGGAATGTTACAAAGGCAATCATGCTTCTCAGGGTATCATATCTAGAGGTGCAGGATATACATCTGCTGCTCACTGGTGGTGTTAATTTTGAATTATATCCTGGACATTGCCAACATTATCTCATGGATAATTGCATTTTGTTATATTCCTCCAAAGAGTGATTTTTTTGTTTGTTTGTTCTGCTTTAAGTAACTTAGTTGGATTAAAACTGCAAACTGTCTTCTGGGTTGCTGCTCAGTTTTCAGTTTCAGCCTCCTAAGTAGCTGGGACTATAAGCACAGGTCAACACACCCAGCTAATTTTTGTATTTTTTGTAGAAAAAATTTTTGCCATGTTGCCTAGGCTGCCTCAAACTCCTGGGTTCAAGTCATCCACCCACCTAGGCCTCCCAAAGTCCAGGGATTACAGGCGTGACCCACTGCATCGAGCCCAGTTTAGTTCATAATTATCTTCAGTTGAGCTACCTGAAATCTACCCATGCAAACATGGTTCAGGGGTCAGCTAGAGACTGAGGCAGTTTATATACAGAAGTTGGGGCTGAGTTTCTCTCCTTTCTAGGATTTTTCCTTCTTTTCAGTGCTGTGACTACTGAAACTCCTGAACTCTGTCCTCTGGCCCTTTAAGACAGAAAGGCTGAGTTTTCTATCAGAGTTTTACCTGTCCCACAGAGGGCTGATTACTAAAAGCAGTAAAAATAGGAAATGCACCCTGTTCCAAGTGTTGACTCCCCTCCAGAAGTTGCTTGCTTTGTGTCACTCTCCATTGTTTGTGGCTTTTTTGAATCCTGTCCAGCGTTTTTAGTTACCTGTGAGGAAGCTGATCTGAAAGCTTACTTGGCCATATCAAAAGCAGAATGCAGTTGACCTTAATTTTGACTATCTGATCAAGGTATCATCTGATTTCTTCATTTAGTTACTACCTTCCCCTTGAAGTCAATAAGGAAATCAAAATTTGCCCCCCTATATTTAACATTCATTGATGATACATGCCTGAGTCAACCTTTACTGAGGCTTGAAAAAAATGAGTATTTTTCCAACTCCAGCACTCTCTCTCTATTTAACAACTGTCATTAAGTATTCTGTGAGCAAGTGCCCTCTCTTCTTCTCTCTTCCTCTCTCTTTTTCTCTACACACGCACACACCCACCCACCCCACAAATGGGTTCATGGATTCTCATTTTTCCTTTTTCTTTTTGAGACAGAGTTTCGTTCTTGTTTCCCAGGCTGGAGTGCAATGGCACAATCTCAACTCACTGCAACCACTGCCTCCCAGGTTCAAGCAATTCTCCTACCTAAGCCTCCCCAGTAGTTAGGATTACAGGCATGTGCCACTATACCCAGCTAATTTTCGTATTTTTAGTTAAGAGATAGCGATTCACCATGTTGCCCAGGCTGGTCTCAAACTCCTGATCTCAAGTCTCAGCCTGCCAAAGTGCTGGGATTACATGCATGAGCCACTGCACCCAACTGGATTGCCATTTTTTTTTAATGGTTTATACTTTATTACTGTTCTTAATTATGTTGCTGCTCAACTTATCCCAGATGTAGCTGGTGGGAACCCTTTTAAGAGGGTTCCTACATCCTGTGACCTGCTCCCCTCTTCTTCTTTCCTTTGTTTTTTTCAGTACTAGATGTTCCAAGCTCACTTGTACTTACCCTGCCCCTGTCCAGGAATCAGCCCTGATTCTTCTCTGAAGAGTCCTGGCATGCTCATGCTAGTGGAATGTCTTTATTTCTAGGCCCCATCTGCAGACAGAGCTAGCATGTGTATATATATGTACATATATGTGTATACAAATATATATACATAAACAAATATATTTAGAAATCACGAGTCCAATACCTCCAATTCCAATCCATCCCTATAGGGGTTCTTTCTTGCCTTCCTCACTCTGTACTTGTGTGTTCCTTCTACACTTAGAACCCTGGCTCCACCAACATCAACACGTGGACCCATTTACTCAATCCTATAAAACATCTAAAGCAGCTTCAGTACTGTTTTGCCCATTCCATTACAAAACAACAATGACAACAAGTTCAGTATGTGTTTATAGTTTCTCTCCCAACTCCACCTAAGACTAAACATGTATAGTCAAATACTACATTCATAATTTACTTGAATTAGTTTTTTTTAATCCCTTCAGTGTGATCTGAAATACAATTCATCTGTTTCCGTTAGTGCTCCCATCCTTATTGGTTTCATTCTATTTTTTGAATATGTAGAATATTGACATTTCCAAAAGTCAGAACTATACCAAAAAGGCATGCTCAGGGAAATATCATGTGCTCCCAAACCCTCTGCCCTCTCATATCCTCCACCCCACCCCATGCAGTTAACAAGTGTCTTTTGTTTTCTAGCCAGTTCTTCTTGTGTTTCTTTTTTGTAAAGATAAGTAGATACAGTGGATCACTGAACAATGTGGAGGCTGGAGTGTTGACCCCCTACACAGTCAAAAATCCACATAGAACTTTTGCCTCCCCAAAAACTTAACTACTCATAGCCTACTGTTGATCAGCAGTCTGTTGATTAACACATATTTTATTTTTATATGTAGTAATACTGTATTTTTACAATAAAGTAAGCTAGATAAAAGAAAATGTTATTTAAAAATTGTAAGAAAGAGAAAATATATTTACTATTAAGTGGAAGTGGATCATCATAAAGGTCTTCATCCTCATCATCTTCACACTGAGTAGGCTGAGGAGGAGGAGGAGTGGGAGGAGGAAGAGAAGGGGTCGGTCTTGCTGTCTCAGGGGTGGCAGAGGTGGAAGAGGTGAAGGAAGGGGAGGTAAGAGAGGCACGGACACTTGGTGTAACTTTTACTGAAAGAAAATCCGTGTATAAATGGATCCACATAGTTCAAACCCGTATTGTTCAAGGGTCAACTGTATGTTTTTTTTATTTCCCCTTCTTTCTTATATAAAACATAGTATATGCTAATGATCATTACATTTTTTGCTTTTTTTTTTTCATTTAACAATATCTCCTGGAAATCTCTCCCTATTCGTTCACAGATATCTCAATCTTTATTCTTTGATTTTTTTTTTTTAGAGCAACAGGGTTTCGCACTGTCACCCAAGCTGGAGTGCAGCTATGCGATCATAGCTCACTGCAGCCTTGAACTCCAGTTTCAAGCAATCATCCCACCTCAGCCTCTCAAAATGCTGGGATTAAAGGTGAGCCACTGCACCCTGGCTGAATCTTTATTCTTTTCTACGGCTACATGGTACTCCATTATGTTATATACCATGGTTCATTCAGCCAATCTCCATGACATTTAAGTATTTTCCAATGATAAATAATGCTGCATTGAATAATCTTGTGCATATGTATTTTCATATTGGAGCTGTATTCAAGAAAATCCCTAGAAGTGGGATTTTTGGTCAAAGGGTAAATACATGTAGTTTTGTCAGACAGTGCTAAATTTCTCTCCATAGGTATTGTATCATTTTGCATTGCCACCCACAGTATGAGTGCCTGTTCTATCACAGCTTTGCCAATCGGTTGTATTGTTAACCTTCTGAAGTTTTGCCTGATAGGTAAGAAATGGTATCTCAGCATAGCTTTGATTCACATTCAAGTGAAACTGAACATCTTTTCATATGTTTAAGGGCCATTTTAATATCTTATTGTGATTATCTGTTCGTGTCTTTTGCCTGCTTTTCTGCAGATTTTTCTATTGACCAAAGATTCTTAGCCAGGGGTCTACTGAGGTGAAAACAGGTAAAATTCAGAGGATGACTGTGACTTTAACTCGAAAAAGAATGCATTTTTATTTTTACTAACCTCTAACTGAAATTTAGCATTTCCTTTATCTTTCTTTTTTTTGAGATGGGATCTTGTTCTCTTGTTCAGGCTGAACTGAATGATCAGTTCATGAGGCTCATGGCTCAATGTAGCCTCAAACTCCTGGGCTCAAGTGATCTTCCCATCTAAGCCTCCTGAGTAGCTGGGACTATAGGCATGCATCATCATTCCTGGGTAATTAATTTTTCTGTAGAGATGAGGTCTCACTATATCTCCCAGGTTGGTCTTGAACTTGAAGGTCTCAAGTCATCCTTTCCCCTCCACTTCTCAAAGTGCTGGGATTATAGGCATGAGCCACCACACCTGGCCACATTTCCTTTACTTTTATTATCATTATTATTTTTGAGACAGGGTCTCACTCTGTCACCCAAGGCTGGAGTGCAGTGGCATGATCTTGGCTCACTGCAGCCTCAACCTCCTGGGCTCAAGTGTTCCTCCCACCTTAGTCCCCCTAGTAGCAGGGACTACAGGTGTACACCACCATGCTCAGCTAATTTTTGTATTTTTTTGTCGGGTTTTGCCATGTTGCCTAGGCTGGTGTCAAACTCCTGAACTCAAAAAGATCCACCCGTCTTGGCTTCTCAAAATGCTAGGATTACAGGTCTTTGTCACTGTGACCGGCCCGGCATTTCATTTAATTATAAATGTAGAAAATACATTCATAATTATATCATATAATTAGTGTCATATCATAAGTAATATCAGCACTATCTATACTTTACTGCCAGTAGAAATCAGACTAATCAGACAGTTTTATGGTGGTAGAGTATCTTTAAATTATTGTTTTCACTCATCACTACTTTAAATTAAGGACTTACAGAACTGCTACCACATCGCGTGATTGCAGCATCCCTGTCTGCAGATGCTCGCTTATGTGATGGAGTTGGGCAACTATCAAGCAGCTCTGCATCTAACAGTCCCTCAGCCACCAAATAGAGATAGTCACAGGGCTCTTGCACTGGGGACCAAGATATTTATGCTGCTTTCCAATACTTCCTATCTGAGAAATTCCCTGCTGACATATTTGAAAAAAGGTATCTATGAATCAATCCTTGATTTATAACTCCCAAATTTATTTTTATTACCAGGGGATCAAAGTGTATCATGTATCAGAATCCTTTTTATTAATATAGATCATATTAAAAATGTTGACCTAGCCAAAGATGAATTCATTGATCTTAAATCAAAACAGTTACTATGACTGGAGTTAAATTTGAAAAGTTTTGGAGAATTCTAGTTGTCCTTTAGAGAAGCTTATCATTCCTTAAAAAGCAAGCTACAAATGTGTGTAAGTACATTTGCAAGAAAATTCCTTTGTAAATCAAGATTTTCTACACCAGTAACCATCAAAACAAAAACTCAAAATCAACTAGATGTTCAACCTGACATACACGTTGCCTTCTTACAGACTACCTCATAATTTAATGTTCTTAAGCCAAGCATAGTACTATGTAAAAGCTAGCATACTAATGTACTAGAAAATAAAATTCAACTCTAACTTGCTTAGGATTTAAATGTATTATTTCATTATTTAATGCACTGATTAAGACATACATTACTATATCACAAATTTGTTCTATTTTAGTAACTATATTTCAACATAGATGGCTTTTTCTGTAATCCTATGTACTATGTTTTATGTATTTAAAAACAATATTCCAATAAAAGGACCACGGTCTTTAGACTGCCTAAGGGCTCCATAGCAAAAAAACTAAGTTAAGTAAGAACTTCTGCCCTAGACTCTCAACCAAATGTGACGGCTTTTTTTTTTTTTTTTTTTTTTTTATTTCTTTAACTTTATTTTAAAGTAAAAGTTTACATTTGGGATTTCAGTTGTCCAACACTTCATTCTTTCCATAAAGGCTCAATCAGACTTTCCAATTACAGGCATTTTTGTTATCACTATTCCTGAAACACAGGGACTACTACTGCTGTGTATCTGCTTTTTTAGGTGCTTCCTTGGCAGAAGGACCCATAGACAGTGGGGCAGAGGAGCCCCATGTCCCTGACTGTGGTGTGGGAGTCCAGCCACGTGGTGCTGACACCCACTTCTGCCAAGATGCAGCCCCTCTGCCCTGTGCAATGAAGCCCTGCACAGAGCCAAGTGTCGGATCTGTCAACATGTGGCGTGGTTTGGACTCAAGTTTCCTTTTTTTTTAATCACTGGAAGCAGTGACGGCTTTAAGACAAGCAAAGTAATAAACCACTAAACACTTCCTTGTGCCACATGCCACAACTCAGTATCTCTCCCCACTTAATGTTCACTAGAATCTGAGAAGAAAAAGAGTTTTAGCACTAAATATAGCCACTGATACAGACTGAAATATTTGATCATTTGTAACTTTCTAAACTGCAAATTTATTGCACTGCCCAGAAAGCCTTGGAGCCACTCACCGTCAGTAGAATGCACATGGGAGTTACCAATCTGGTCCACCAGCAACATGAAAACGAAGCCCAGTACGAGGGAAACACCAATGTAGGCATGTAGCTGTGTGTGGTCGTGGCTGTGCTCATGTTCATGGACAACTGACATTTCTGCTGCTTTGTCTGATGCAATCACATTATGTGTTTCACTTGCTTGGTGGTGTTTTCCTAGAGCAGAATAAACCATAAAGAGAAAAAAATGTTTTTCCCCCAAAGCCATTTTCATGAAGAAGTTTCCATTCTTTGTATTTCAAGCTCTATTTACTTTACTGTAAAGACATCCACTTTCTATATTGTAATCCAGCCAATCACTAACTCCTTCAACTTAAAGTTCATGGTGAAAAAATTCCAAATGTCTTCTGCCTTTGGCATGCAGACCTTCTGATTGCCTATTATTCTCAAAACCTGGGAAGTGGAAGCAAATCACCATGCAAGAAAGCAATCATATTCCCAAAGGGACACCATCCCTAAATCTTGCTCTGTCGGAGAAATTCATGCCAATCTCATCAGAAACTACACTGTTTTATTCTGATGAAAATAGGCAAATGAAAAGCAGTAACAACAAAAATAATTACAAACAAATTCATCTAGTCTATACCTAGGTTGATACAAACATTTCAAATAAGGAACAAATTGAGTAGAAAATTTTTAGCTTTATAAAGTATCAGCAGACAATCGCCAGCAAGAAACCAAAAGGACAGAGCAGTTTAAGAGGCACATCCTTCAATCTAAATTCATTTCTAGAAATATGGAGGTTGAGAGACTCTGAATTGCAGTAAATGACACCTGGCCAGTTGAAAATCCCAGTAACATATTTTCATTTAAAACATAATGACATCTGGCTAGTTGAAAATCCCAGTAACATATTTTCATTTAAAACATAAATGCTTCAAGGCCAAAATGCTTATCTTTGCTGTACTTAAAAAATAGAGAATCACATACTAGACATTTATAATTTATAATCAGGTTAAGCATCTAACCTTTTTTTAAAAAATTGAGATCTCATCGTTCACTCAGGCTGGAGTGCAGCAGTGGTACAATCATGGCTCATTGTACCCTCAACCTCCCAGACTCAAGCAATCCTCCTACCTCAGCCTCCCAAGTAACTGGGAAACCACAGGCAAGTACCACTTGATTAAATAATCAGCTAATTTAAAAATTTTCTGTAGAAACAGGGTCTCCATATGTTGCCTAACTGGTCTTGAAACCTGTTAGGCAACTTCCTACCTCAACTTCCCAAAGTGGTGGGATTACAGGTATGAGCCACCATGCCCAGTCTACAGACCCTGTCTCTTAAAAACAAAAACAAAACAGGCTGAGCACAGTGGCTCATACCTGTAATCTCAGCACTTTGGGAGGCCAAGGCGGGCGGATCACAAGGTCAGGAAATTGAGACCATCCTGGCCAACATGGTGAAATCCCATCTCTACTAAAAATACAAAAATTAGCTGGGTGTGGTGGTGTGTGCCTGTAATCCCAGCTACTCAGGAGGCTGAGGCAGGAGAATCGCCTGAACCAGGGAGTTGGAGGTTGCAGTAAGCCAAGATTGTGCCACTGCCCTCCAGCCTGGTGACAGAGTGAGGCTCTGTCTCAAACAAAACAAAACAAAACAGTTTCACAAAATAAGATCCAACCCTACAATAGTTACAATACACTCTTCTATTTCTTTCTTTCCCTCTCTTTCTTTTTGAGACAGGGCACAGCCCTGTTACCCAGACTGGACTACAGTGGTGCAATCTCAGTTCACAGCAACCTCCATCTCCTGGACTCAAGTCATCCTCCTACCTCAGTCTCCCAAGAAGCTGGGACCACAGATACAAGCTACCAAGTCCTGCTAATTTTTATATTGTTTTTGTGGAGATGAGGTTTTGCCATATTGCCCAGGCTGGTCTCAAACTTTTGAGCTCAAGTGATCTACCCACCTTGGCCTCCCAAAGTGCTGGAATTATAAGGATGAGCCACTGTGCCTGGAACTATTCTTTTCTTTTTGAGACAGTCTTGCTCTGTACCCAGGCTGGAGTACAGTGGCATGATCTTGGCTCACTGCAACCCCTGCCTCCAGGGTTCAAGTGATTCTCATCCTTCAGCCTCCTGAGTAGCTGGGTTTACAGATACACTATATAGTGAGTTCTTGCAAGATCTGATGGTTTTACAAGGGACTCTTCCCCTCTTCACTTGGCACTTCTCCTTCTCACTGCCTTGTGAAGAAGGTGACTTGCTTCCCCTTTGTCTTCCACCATGATTGTAAGTTTCCTGAGGCCTCCCCAGCCATGCTGAACTGTGAGTCAATTAAACATCTTTATAAATTTCTAACCTTTATAAATTACCCAGTCTTGGGCATTTTGTTATAGCAGCATGAAAATGGACTAATACACTGGGCATGGTGGTGCACACTTGTAGCCCTAGCTACTTGGGAGGCTGAGGTTGGAGGACTTCTGGAGCCCAGGAGTTGGAGGCTGCAGTGAGCTATGATTCTATGATTGTGCCCTTGTACTCCAGCCTGGGCAAGACAGAGAGAGAGACCTTGTCTCTGGAAAATAAATAAATTAATTAAATCATTATCTAAAAGAAACCTGCAATTTATATGTTTATTGCAGCACTATTCACAATAGAAAAGATTTGGAATCAAACTAAGTGTCTGTCAGTGGATGAATGGATAAAGAAAATGCGGTAGATAAATATAGTGGAGTATTATGAAGCCATAAAAATACATGGAATCATGTTTTTTGCTGCAGTGCAGATGAAACTGGAAGTCATCTTAAGTAAAACAACTCAGAAAGCCAAATACTGCATGTTCTCACTTACAAGTGATACCTAAATAATGTGTAAACATGGACACAGCATATGGAATAGTACACTTTGGAGACTTGGAAGCATGGGTGGGAGGAGGGTGAGGAATAAGAAATTATTTAATGGGTACAAGGTACATTATTTGGGTGGTGATTTCACTAAAAGCCTAGATCTTACCACTACCCAAAATATCCATGTAACAGAACTGCACTTGTACCCCTTAAATTTACACCAATTAAAATGAATAATCTTAAAGAGCTCTATTTTTATGAATAAACATGAGGGCAAGAGTTAATAAGAGCAGATTAGCCCACCCCTATTCATTCATTCATTTTTCCAGATTTATTATCTGGAAAATGTTAAAGATTGGATAATATTCCATTCTGTGTGCGCATGCATGTGTATTACAACTTATCCACGCATCTACTGACAGACACATTGATTTCATATCTTGGCTCTCCTGAATACTGCTATAGTGAACATAACAGCAGAGATATTGCTTTGAGATACTGACTGCATTTGTCTTGGATATATACCCAGAAGTGGGATTGCTGGATCATAGGTATTTATATTTTGAATTTTCTGAGGAATCCCCATACTGTTTTCTATAATGGCTGTTTTACATTTCCACCAACAGGGTACAAGGCATCCTTCTTTTCCACATCTTTGCCAACAGCTATCCTTTGTCTTTTTGATGACAGCCATTTTAACAGGTGTGAGATGATATCTCACTGTGTTTTTGATTTGCATTTCCCTGATGATTAGTGATGCTGAGTGTTTTTTCACGTACCCGTTGGCCATTTGTATATCTTTGTTTGAGCAATGTCTATTCAGGTCCTTTGCCCATTTTTAATGTCTATTCAGGTCCTTTGAGTTGTTTTCTTGCTATTGAATTGCTTGAGTTCCTTTATATTTTGGATATTAAACCCTTACCAGATAAGGGTTTAAAACCTTTTCTCCCATTCCATTGGTTGTCTCTTTACTCCGCTGATTGTTTCCTTTGCTGTGCAGAAGCTCTTTCTAGTTTGACAGAATCCTATTTGTCTATTTTTGCTTTAGTTGCCCATGATTTGGGGGTCACACCCAAAACATCATTACCCAGAACAATGTTAAGAAACTTTCCCCTACATTTTCTTCTAATAGTTTTACATTTAAGACCTGAAACTGTATGTTTAAGTCTTTAATCCATTTTAAGTTCAATTTTGTATATCGTGTGAGATAAGGGTCCAGTTTTATTCTTCTGCATGTGGAAAACAGTTTTCCCAAAACCATTTATGAAGAAACTACCCTTTCTCACTATGTGTTCTTTGTACCTTTGCCTACTATCATTTCACTGTAAACAAAAGGATTTATTTCTGGGGTCTCTTTTCTGCTGTATTGGTCTACATATTTATTTTATCCCAATACCATACTATTTTGATTACTATAGCTTTGTAGTATATTTAGAAATCAGGTAGTGGTATGCTTCCAGTTTTGTTCTTATGGTTCAAGACTGCTTTGGCTTCAGGGCCTTCCATGGTTGCATATGAATTTTAGAATCGTTGCTTCTATTAAGGTTTATTTGGCTTACAATTCTGTAGGCTGTCCAAGAAGCATGAATCTGAGGATCTCAGGAAGCTTCCAATAATAGCAGAAGGGGAAGAGGAGTCAGCATATCACATGGCGAGAGAAGGGAGAGGTGCCATGCTCTTTTAAACAACTAGTTCTCCTGTGAACTAATAGAGGGAGAACTTACTCATTAGCAAGGGGACAGTACCAATACATGCATGAGGGATCCACCCTCATGACCCAAACACCTCCTGCAGGCTCTGCCTCCAACACTGGAATCAAGTTTCAACACAAGATGTGGAGGGGACAAATATCCAAACCATAGCAAATGCCAATGGAATTGTGATGGGGTTGCATTAAATCTGTAGATCACTTCAGGTAGCATGGATATTTTGACAATATTAATTCTTCCAATTCATGAACATAGAATATCTTATTTATATCTTCTCCAATTTCCTTAATCAATGTTTTATAGTTTTCAGCATATAGATTTTTACCACCTTGGTTAAATTTATGCTTAAGTATTTTATTTTCTGATCCTATTATGAATGAAATTGTTTTCATAGTTTCTTTTTCAAACAGTTCATTGTTAGTATACAGTGATTTTTTTTTTTTTTTTTTTTTTAGAAGGAGTTTCGCTCTTGTTACCCAGGCTGGAGTGCAATGGCGCAATCTCGGCTCACCGCAACCTCCACCCCCTGGGTTCAGGCAATTCTCCTGCCTCAGCCTCCTGAGTAGCTGGGATTACAGGCACGCGCCACCATGCCCAGCTAATTTTTTGTAATTTTTAGTAGAGACGGGGTTTCACCATGTTGACCAGGATGGTCTCG